TCTCGCAAAGACTGTGCAAACCACCGTGGAATAAGCATGATCCCAATCGTCATCAAGTTACTAGCCTCCATCATACTTTGACGTCTGACACCGTTTAGGGAGACAAATATTCGCGAACAATAAGCAGAATTCCGACAAGGCCGCGGTTGTGTCGATCAAATCTTCACTCTGCGTCAAGTCCTCGAGCTACGCCATACGCGTCATCGACCAACGGTTGTCTTGTTCCTTGACCTAAAAGGGGCCTTCGACTCAGTTGACCGCGAATCCCTTATAGGTTCGCTCCTTCGCAGAAGAATGCCGCAGAAGTATGTGAACATACTGAGTTCGTTCTACTCGCATAATTTTGGTAGTGTAAGAGTTTACAGCGAGCTGAGTAGGTCGTTCGAAACTAGCAGCGGTGTTCGTCAAAGGTGCCCTCTTTCGCCATTCCTGTTCAATTTCGTCAGAGACGAAATACTGGAGAACACACTAAGTGGTCTCCAAAATGTAGGTATTTAATGGGCAGCTAGAGAACAGCTGTGGAATTTCGAGTAGGCTGACAACATCGTTTGCTTGTTCGAATGTATGGAGGATGCACAAAGAGCATTTGACAGATTAGCAAGTGCTGTCGCTCCGTTCGGCATATGCTTGCACCTTCAAGGTGCAAAGTGATGATACAAGACTGGGTGTCACCGAGTTCTGTTCTGAAACTAGACGGTCAGGAATTAGCTGGAATTGACTGCTTCTCGTACTTAGGTAGCTGCGTGACCAAAGATGGTAGCGCATCAAGGGAGATAACCACCCGCATTTCCAAGGCTCGAGCAGCATACGCAGGACTTAAACATCTGTGGCGGCGACGAGACGTTTCACTGAAGTTGAAAAGTCGCGTATACTGCGCCACTGTCCGATCGGTTCTGACTTACGGTTGTGAGAGCTTGAACTTGGGGGTAGAAGACACCCGTCGTTTAGCAGCGTTCGATAATCGATGCTTACGTAGTCTGGCCCAAGTGGGATGGAGTGAGTGAGTTATTAACTTAGAAGTAAGTCGTCAGGTGTTTGGGAATACATCAAACAGGAACTCACTATCGCATCGAATTCAGCTCAATAGGCCCCATTGGTTTGGACACGTGTTGCATATGTTCGACGATGGCCTACCGCGGCGCGCCTTGTTTGCAGTGGCTGTTACAGACCGTAGAAAACCACGTGGAGGCCAACCGATGACGAGGCATGAAGAAATACACAGAGCGATCAGGTAGAGTAGCTGTCTCTCGGCTTCCGAGTTGGGGTCCAAAAGACCATGGTTGGAAACACCAAAGGTCATGGCTGCGAACCGACAGCAATGGCGATCTTGTTGTCACTTCTCATTAGACCAGAATGCCTTGAAATAGTATGTATGCACACCTGGACTGTGCACTCTGTGTTTTGATTAGGAGGGTTAACTTTCTTTTCCCGTCCCTAAAAGGAGGTCCAATCCCTATTCTCCTTACACATTATTACTTACCTTGTACGCAATATGAGTTTGGCAGCGATCAGTGAAGTTCACTTCACTGTATTACGCTGTACAATGATGATGATGATGATGATGATGATACAGAGAGAGAGGTGCTTCGGTTTTGCACTAGTTCTTCAACCTTCGGTTTTGGCTAGCCGAAGGCTCCGGTTGTGGATTCTTCAAAAGCATTCACCTGCCTTGGCCTGGATAACGGGGCAGTATTCAGCCCACATGCAAATCATGGAACGCTTTTCTTTTTTTATTAGGATTATTGTACCATGATTTGTTTGGCACTTAGTCTAGTGTCAGACATGTGTGAGGTGGCACAGTTTGTGTTAACAAGAGAGTCCTTAAAGACAAGTGAAACGCGGCTGATGATCGCCAAGCCTTAACGAAGAGTAATGAAATCATTTTAAAGTATGCCGGGGAAGATCAGAGGGAAAAAATGAAGGATAATGGTTGAGAGACGTTGATAAACAAGGGAGGAGTTGGCAGAGTGTTTTGCAATGCAATTTATCAACTTGCGGACACACAGGGGTAGACCACCTGCAATTACGCTCCACGGGAATACCAAGGTACTTGTAAAACGGTTGCGTTGACTCGGTCCATTTATTGTTCTTTGATGAGATATCACCCTTTTAGGGTACTCTAATTTGGGTATTTTGGTCCTAGGCAAAGATTGATACGGTTGAGTACCGTAAACAAGGATCTTCTTACTTCTACTCTACTTCTCCGCAAGTTTGATTCAAGTCACTTCTCTATTTTCACATTGTCATTGCTTTTAACATTCTAATCTTCCCTTGATTCATTCTTCCACAGAGATGTCCTGAAAACATTCAAGACAATGTATGGTCCGAGGTAGGTGTCTTGGTTTGTGTCCGATCGCCCTTCTCTTGTACCTCACGAAATGCTCCCATACGACCAGGTATCTCAAACAGCTTCTGCTGAGGAAGCCCTACTCACTGCCTTCTCGTGAAGGAGATGTTTTTCCACCAAAGTGAGAGGATGAAAAGCCAACATCCGGGCAATAACCGGGTTGGTGAACTACTGGGAGATTACCGAGGGGAGTTGGCTAAAATCCTTGGTCCCGGACCAACCAAGAGGTATACAAACCACACCTAACCACGCCTTGCTGGTTGTGACAGTGGTCACTGGTTCGATTGGGCATGGAGGTGTATTGAGCACCTTAGATGTTCGACTCGATCCAAAGGACCTATGATCCCACGAACTGGACACCGGCCCACAAAGAATTGTGGTTTTACCCACACCACCCCGCTGCATAGCGAGTCAGGTTTTGGCTAGTCGAAGGCTGCGGTTGCGAAACTGTGATGATTGCGTATAAACTGAACATTCTGTTGTTTCCTTACGCGATCGATTGCTTTGTAAAATTTCAGCGCGTAATACAATCCGACTTCGAATATTCTGATGTTCTATTTCGTACTGCGTTCGGTTGGAGCTTATTTGCGCGGATTATTGCGATTCGATTCCTGATACCAAGTACGGACTACCACAGAAACCCCAAAGAAAATTCACCTTCTTTGGCCTGGGTAGCTTAACAGTATTCCGCACACAAACAAATCATAGAGTATTTCTTTTTATGAAGATTAATGTACCGTGAGTCGTTTGGCACATAGTCTGGTCACAGGCCTGTGCGAAATACACAGCCCCGGATATTGGCTTTTAGTCCTCTCACTTTGGTGGGAAAACATCTCTGTCACGAGAAGGTAGTGAGTAGGGTTTCCTCAGCAGAAGCTATTTGAGACAACTGATCGTATGGGAGCATTTCGCGAGGTGCAAGGGAAGGGTGACCAGCCGCAACCCTAGACACCCACCCCCGACCATACTCAGAGGCTTTTGGAGGCCAACTGTTCTGTGGTCAATATTCTCGAGATATCGACATCAGAGAGGCAACAAATTGTGGTCCACTGAGAGGCTGGATGGAATAGCAGAAATATTGCGAGAAAGAAAGAATGCATTGCTAAAAGATCACAATGAAAGTGTTCCTGGCTAATCCGTCTAGATACAGCGCGAAAGAAGATGAGAGATAATCAAAACGATATCTGATAAATCTAAAAGAAAATTGCTGAGGAAATCTCCTAATCAATTCCTAAAGTAAAATAGCTATACTCGTCCTGATTCAACCGTCAGAGGGAATAAAGCAAGCGTTCTCAGCCGCTCTACATTCAGAATAAACCAAGATGAGAAGATTTACTCCTGCTGATCTCTACTCAAATGCATAGTACAGTTCCGAGGAAAAGAAAGAACCGATTTCGTGGAACGATGAATGGGAGAAAATTATTCACGTGTGGATAATAGTTTAATCTGAATGATTTGACGGACTTTAGGAATGAATTGCGGGTACAGAAAGGAATGGGAAACTACGTGACGTTTCAGAGGAGGACTAATGAGGAGCGACTAATGCGGGTGGGAAGAAGTTTGTCAACTATACTAGACGAAATAATAAAGGAACAAACTTTTATCAAGATCGACAACAAACATCTTTCATTTTTTCTGCTGGAACAGAATCAGTTCGTTGGAATTTTTGCACAATACAATGCGCTCATTCGCATGACATACCTCACGCGACGTGGCTTGTTAAGGACTATTGGACTGGTCATCCCATATTCCTGATTTCAATCCAATGGAAAGTTTTCAGGGAATCATAGACGGACGTGTACATCACGGACATAGTTTTCCTCACATAAAGGTCAAATTTAAAAATACTATTATTGAAGGATGGATGAAAGCTTCGGTAGGAATTCTGGAGTCTTTGATCACTAGTGCACTACAACTTCGAATGTTTCCATTCACAAAAATCGGATAAAATGAATTTCCTGCAAATGCGGTTTTGCCTAACATCCATTTAGACCGGTCTCAAAAGCATTTTTCACGCCTTTTGTTTAAAGCGTCATGTTCATTTGTTCGAGTTTCGGTCCAGTTAAGCCCATTTCTGTTGTGCATCTGAGAATGGTTGAACTACAGGACAAATGTTCGAAATTTCAATTTTTCCACATAATACAACGAGTGAAATGCAAACACACACACACATATATATATATATACATATATATATATATATAACGTGGTAAAAACGGTCGGTTTTTCAAGAGTTTCGTACACTATAGGTTATTCGAACCGGATCGCCGCCGTAGTGGTTGGCGCATAACTACGGAATACGACGGAGTGTGGGTGTGGTCATCTTAAGCAGTCCAACTTGGTGAATTTGCATGTGCATTTTTCATTACCAAAACGGGGAACGCTTAAAATTAGATATGGACAGGGAAACGGTCCCAGTTCCATGACAAAAGATAAGCCTCACAAAAAACTGAGATGGGGTGCGCACTAAGCCTATTTCCTTTAGGTTTTATTCAAAACAATCATCATTTGGATATCCTTAAACTGATCGGCCTTGACATAAACAGAGTAGGTGAAAAAAACTGAGAAAAGGTCCGAGAAAAATTGTTTAACTTAGTGAATCGAACGACAAATCAATCAAATAGAAATTGCTGCCCGACTGGCAATAACGTACTTCTTATGAATCCGTATCCGTTCTGTCGGAGTGGAGACACATCGAATTAATCGTGCCTCGGGTAACGCGGTTAGAATGTGGCTAAGTTCCAACGGCTGACAGTGTACATCCTCCTCGTCCGCACCGGTCCCTTTGTCCACATCACCGAATTCTTTCGGACAGGATGGCCAATGACAAGGTGACAACAAATTGCTCATCTGATCCGAGGCAAGACGATTCATTTGGTCCAGATTGATCGATGTATTCGACAAAATGGGACGTTCATCAGGCGGTTTGTCCCCGGGCGACTGCCACATCTGTAGCTGTTCTAATAACCAATCGTTGTACAACAGTACAATACTGTCACTTAACCTGGAAATCAGATTTAACATTTGGGGAAAAAATGTCAACTATTTTCGAGCCGGTTAAACACAAAAAAGGAAAAAAGTTAGACAAAACGTTCGTTTTTATTCCTTTCCCGAGGGAAAAGGGATGTATCGAGTTGTGTACGATTATTTATTCCCAAGTCTCTACATCCACAAAAACACAATGACAGAGTATTGTTGTGGCGTACAATTGATTAAAACATTTGCACCACATACTTTTGTCATGATTGATGGATTCACCGACGCTGCCTGCTACCACATACGTACGCATGCAGGCTCATTGTTCTGTAAGATCGATTTGCTTCAGACAATTGGTTTTCAGCATTGAACTGCCCGGTCTGATTGATTGGTTGTTTGGCTGAATGCTTAGTACTTTGTGGCCTGATATGTCGTGTTGTGTCACCCTGGATCACCTCTGGGTCTCTGCGACTTCTTGACACACGCCGGTCAATTCCGACCGGTAGCGGGTGTAACGAAGCACGACTTAACGTGAGCCTAAACAGAGATCGCGAAATTAGGAGGCCTCGACGCGCACCTAAAATGAAACTTGTTATTGCCATGCAAGATTCCTGTTGGATGTTCCATCTCATTGGAGTTACTCGTAGGAAAGTTTTGGGTGTGAGCGAAACGATTTATGAAGGGGATGACCTATTCGCAATCAACAATGACGTCGGGGTGATATTTTGTCCCCTTTCTAGTTACCATGCATATACAGAATCTCCCTACTGCCAGTAACTTTATTGCTTGCAAGTATGCTGATGATATTGTGATTGGTTTCGCATTCCCTATAGTTCAGACAGTTTTCGACCACCCCAGGACAGCCCTAATGAAGTTCACGATTGATCTGTGTCCCGATCCCTTGTACTTAACTTCACGAAGTGCATTGAAGTTTCATTTTGTCCTAAAACTAGTCCCCGTTACCTTTCCTTAGTGAATAATCTCCCTGTAGTTTATAATCAAAACATCCCAAAATCTGCTTCTGTTAAATACCTTGGTAACACTCTCGCCCATAACCTGTTCTGGTCTGCTCATGTCATCAGAGTTTTTACAAAGTTCGAAAGCTTCCTTTTTGTGCATACAAGATCAGTAAACTAGCTGTACCACAACCCAATTCTTAAATTTGTAATTGCCTATATCTTTCCACACTGGCTATCTATACTGCCCCCGATATTCATCCCTGGTCTTAATGAAAATGATTTCACTTTATTTTCGAGACCCCTTAAACTTTTGTTTCGCTACAGTGGATTTGATAGTTATTTTGGTTGAGTTCTTTCTTTCTAAGCATCGTGACGCTGTGATACTTTCATTGACGGGATAACGATGATCAAGGGCACAGTTTACACCAAGAAATCATGAAAGCCCTGTTGAATCCTGGAACTCGCCCAAAATAACAACTCCTTTGTGTGCATACTTCCACATATAGAAACGGTGTAAAGTCATGATTTGCTCAGTTATTGGCTAATCGTAAGACAATTGTCACCCACCTCAGGAGAATTCTCTTGCGCCAATTTTTCTCACATTTACTACAGTATAGAATTTTGTTATGCTGTCTTTCTTGTTGATTGGTTTCAATAGATCCACTGTATAAGCTCGCAAATTGCTGAAAATTTACCCTTTCGGTGCGTGAAGTGTTTCTTGACTTGAACGACTTGACTTGACTGGATGGAGCAATTTGGAGCCAAGTTAAATTGGTAATCAGCGTCAGCTTCTCTCGCAGCTATTCCGGCACACGTGCCATGGTCTGTTTCAATAGACCTACCTACATTCTAAGGCGGATACCAACAAGGAGATCCGAGCCCTGGAACGACAAATTGCCAATCTTAGATGGTCTTTCCACAGGTCTATTTAACCAGCTGCTTGTTAGAGAGCAGCAGGCGCTCTTCTCCAAAGTTTTGCGCACCGAACAGGTCCTATCCTAGTGGAGGAGTCGATTGTCGTTCCTGTTACGTTTGGATTTCACACAGCGTAGTCTCGGACCCGTAGCCCGCTAGCAAAGTAGAACAACAGTACGCAGGGTAGGATAGATTTATTATGATCGTTCACAACCAAGCGTATGTTTAACAAGGCAGCAATAGAACTAACAGCCAGTCAGGATCGAGCCCATGCCGGCCGGCAGTATCGGCATAGGCAAGTGCTTGAGGTTGATCAATCTGAGTAGATATCAATCGATAATCTGTGGAACGAGTAAATCATCGATGCGCGGACTAGCAGAACGTACGCACTTAAGCCACAGGCACGTATGCAACAGTTCCTATTTAAGAAGGGCCCGTACAGTGAGTCAACCACAGGAGGATAAGTCTAATCACAACGGATTACGAACTGTTTGTGTCTGTCATTCTTCGAAGATTTCACTTTACGCGTAAGGAGTGGGTTGAGTTTTACGGCGGTCATAGATTGATTGATCAAATCTTCATCCTTCAACAGTTGCTACAGCACCGTCATACTTATCAGACATTAATGATTGTTGTGTTCTTGGACATTAGCATTACTTTCGAGTACATCGATAGGACCACACTATAAAACTGTTTATTAAGGAATGTAATGTATTGATCCTTTCCGATGGCCAAGGGTCCCCGCATTTGGTCGTCTCCAATGGAGTTCGATTAGACTGTCCTATATTCCCATACCCTTTTAACTTTGTCCTAGAGGATATTCTACGGGATGCTTCGTGAGATCAAGCAAAACCTGGAGTTGAACTCCTCCCAGAGAATAATGTACTTAACGTAGAATCAACATCGCATGGATAGGTGAGGATAGACAGGTAAACTAGCTTTTTTCAATCTGCTGGGCAATCAGGGTATCCAGATATGATATATGCTTTGCAGCATCAAAATGCAATCATCACTAAAGTGTTAGTCATCGTCATACTTTGACGTATGAAGCACCTAAGGGAGATCATTATCCGTGAACAGCAAGCAGGATTCCGACCAGGTTGCGGTTGTGTCAACTAAATCTTCACAATGCTTCAAACCCTAGAGTTTCACCGTGCTCATTGATGGCTAATGATGTAGTAGTTTTTACTTCAAACCCTGACCCACGGAAGATCTGTCTGCCAGGGTTTCCTCGCCAACCCTTGTCCCTTATCCCTAACGCCGTTCCCTGTCGTCATTCGTCGCCCACAAAACCTTGTATCATTTTCCGCTGCGAGAATACGAGCCGAGGAACATCCTGTCGAGCATATCCGTTCACCCCGCTGCGCTGCGAGAGCCCGGAGTACGTACGTATTACACAAGCTCATCTGGAGGCACATTCATATTGAATTAACTCCATGAAAGTTGAGTTCATTTAACCAAACACCAGGAAAGCAGAAATGTCCAAACCAGATGAAACGGTTAAACAGGTAAAACGAATTTGATTTAAAATTTAAACTTACTGTGTCAAGCGAGCCAAACACAACAGACTATTGTACGCTTGAAGCGGCGAATCGCCGTACCGATGCGGGACCACAGTGAAGCACAAGCGAAGTCGAAGCGATAGTTCGCTGTCCGCCTCTTCAACCAACCGCAATCCTAAACCGGATCCAGTACCCCCGGCCAGGCTGTGAATAAGGCACAATCCCAAACAATGTCCGAGTCTATGTGGAAACGAGGGAAAATGTAGGATATTTCTTTGCGCCGCGAGTCCTTCTTCGTGTACGGATAAAAACATGCGAGGTCCCCTCCGTGTTGAAGATACTACCTTCTGCTACTACTACTACTACTTGTTGCATTCGATCACAGCTGCCTCCAACCTATTGTGTAGTGGGAATAATCGATAAGCAATGACGACGTTCATCTTCATTTGTGGAATATGTACAGTCGTCATATAAAAGAACAATCGTTCTACGCCACCTCCGATGGCTGGGTCACATTTTGCGTAAGCCTGCGCATCGTTTAACTTTCCCTACTCGCGTTGCGTNTACCGCTGCGTTCATATATATATATATATATAATGTGATTACCATTTGGAAAACACATTGCTGGGTAGAAAATTCAACTTTGACTCAGTTAAGAAGACAATAAATGGTATAAGAAGAAGCCAATGACCTCGGAGTTGACAATTAATATGAAAATGCTTGTGATTTCAACCCCACGTCTCTCAATTCACACATAGTTTCCATAGTTACTCACCCCTAAAATGGGTGTCGTTTTATCTTTGATTTCACTCATGTAATTTTTTTATTTATAGGGTAATGATAAAGGAGCCGGATTGGCCGAAAAGTGTGAAATTCGCCGAATGGCTTAGGCACACCTGAATTTGTCATTCGGTCTTATAGCGGTCGTGAAGGGACTAGCAGAAAAATTCAAGTTCACTAGATATAAAGAAACCCACATGTCATAATTAAAGTATACCACGGTTATAATCCCAAAATGTTTGTTTGGTTTGGGGCACATAACGTGTTATTATTGGGTTCATGTGATTTTGGCGGCACAATTAATGAAACGACTTACAGACAACTGTGTTCTACATTGGTAATCGAATATATTCATGCACNNNNAGAGAGAGAAGAAAGGGAATTTATTTCCAGCAGACTGGCACAGCTGCCCACCAATCAACGTCTGATAGAACTTGGATTGGTTAACCATTCCCATAAAAATTAAATCAGCAGACAAAAAAGTGTGCCGCAGCCGCCTATATTGTTCGAATTGACTCCACAGTAATTTTTATCATAAAATCAACTGAAATCTATCCCGTTCTTAATGCAAACTGTGGAAAATATCACAACTGCATTGCAAGACAATTCTATTTAAAAAAATGGAAGATGCACATGAATATGATACAGCGAATCGATAGATTGATTGAAATAAACAGACGGTGTGTTTAGCACTTTTTATCACCAGTAAATAGTATGTTCACATTTCAATGACTAAGTGAAACTTTGTTATTTTTAAATAACTAAATAGACAGATCGCATCTCATCATTCTCAAGAGTCAGCCACGTCTGCGTCCATCTACTCAACTTATTCGAGAATTAAAGAATATTTACAACAGACAATTCTATGGGTTTAGCTGTAAATATTTACGAAGTTACCATGATAAAGGTAAAATACAAAGTAAATACGTTTTTACTTCCTTTTTTATTTATGGAATATATAAATGTACAGTCAACATGCAGGAAGGGGGCAGCGGCGATTCAAAGGCTGCCTGGGAAGACTGGCGGCGGTGGAGCGGTTCGAACTCGGGACTCCCAGGTCACAAGTTGGTGACCTAACCATTTGACCACTACCGCTCACCAAAGTAGATTTATAGATCTTCAAGTTTGAATGCTTCAAACCATCGTTCAAAAATTTGAGAACAGACATCACTGATGTGGTGGGGGACCATGAAAGATTGCGAGAAACGGCTATACAAAGGTAGATTTACATCAGATTTTATGGCTTTCTTTGCCCCAAATGAACCTATTTTTTCTGCTCACCGCATGAAGTCTCAACTGTTCTCCTATGACCGATCTGGTTTTAAGAAAGTATTCCTTGTATTTTTTTCACAGTTCTCGTGACTTGGTTTTACTTTAGCTAAATTAGATGCTAGATATCTTCTCATGTTTCCCCAAAAACTCAGACCTGGCCTATGCAATCAGACCAAATGCAGTTTGTCAGTCTGTAGATCCCCTCCCGCAATAACTGACAATTGTCAATTGTTTTTCAGGGTCAACAAACGGTCAAAACCAAACGGTTAACTTTCTGTGTCAGACACACAAACAATTCAAAAAAGGGGGAGGGGTGAGTGGATTGTGAATTGTTACCATGCTCTGTCATTTGATATAGTCTCATCAGATGAAGGTACGAGTAAACCAAAGCCGATATTCATTCAGTTTCAGTTTCAGTTTGTACAACCACTAACCAAGCATATTCGTGCGCCGGTCTTGGTTGCTGTCTTTTGGCTGCCTATTTGGATTAAGAATAGGAGAAGAAAGGAAAGTTGAAAGTGGATTCGAAAGGAAAATGGAGAAGTT